TGTTCAATCTAATGATAGAATAATATTGTACCAATCTGATGAGTGTGTATAAAAATATTGAACTATATATATATTTTTATTTGAGTTTAGATAAAGTAAAGTGAAAATGCTGAATTATCAAACTCGCCCTTTGATATTTTGCTATTGTAATAACCGCCCTTTGATATTTTGATATTGCAATTACCGCCCTTTGATATTTTGATATTGTAATAATCGCCCTTTGATATTTTGCTATTGTAATAACCGCCCTTTGATATTTTGATATTGCAATTACCGCCCTTTGATATTTTGCTATTGTAATAACCGCCCTTTGATATTTTGGTATTGTAATAACCGCCCTTTGATATTTTGCTATTGTAATAACCGCCCTTTGATATTTTGGTATTGTAATAACCACCCTTTGATATTTTGATATTGTAATAATCGCCCTTTGATATTTTGGTATTGTAATAACCGCCCTTTGATATTTTGCTATTGTAATAATCGCCCTTTGATATTTTGGTATTGTAATAACCACCCTTTGATATTTTGATATTGTAATAATCGCCCTTTGATATTTTGGTATTGTAATAACCGCCCTTTGATATTTTGATATTGTAATAATCGCCCTTTGATATTTTGGTATTGTAATAACCACCCTGTTGATAATGTGATTGTTTAAATGTATTTAATATTTAAATAATCATCACATTTTACTGAATTATTATTTTGTAGTTATGCCAGGAATTATGAGTAATTCGGGATTAGGTAAGAATTGAATTATTAATCGACGATTTACTGATTTATACACGGAACCTTTGTTAATTGAAGGAATTCAATCTGGTGGTACTTACCTACTGCCAAGGGGGGATGTAGGGGGAGGGTGTTGGCGGTAATGAGGCGATTTTGACAATTATAATTTAAGTCGTTCTATCGAGGCTATATTTTCCGATATTGATATGATTGCGGAAAAACCTAAGAATAAAATCACGAAATAGTACGAATTTTTAGGAGGAAGAGGGTGGGGAGATAATTCAATCGATCAAGGATCATGAAAGGAATAATATTGTATCATCTGAGAGGCCAAATTGTCATTTCGACTTCGAGCCTGTTTAAATACAAGTAAACAATATGATTGGTTCAATCATTAGCCAATTGACCAATCAAATGACTGGATCAATAAAACTAAGAATGAAGAGATGACAAAGAGTTGTAACTTTTCACAATTTCAGTTGAATAAGACTGATTATAAACTAAATTTTACCACTTTCTTTTTTTTAGATCGACGGCATCTTTTGCTACAAAATAAGGTACAAAGCGGGATACTTTTAAACTTTGTTTGTGAGTACCATCGATTGGCTCCAACTTATCCTATCCCTCGACATTGTAACATAAACTTCTCTTCATCAAATCCTAGTATATTTATTAGCCGATTTAATTTAAACACTACCATGTATATGATTCCCGCTCAGTCATAACGATGATGTAGCCATGTTGGATTTTCTCGCAAGTAAGGTTTCATAGTGAACCAGGTAAATTTCTCAATCCGTCTGGCGTTGATACTGCATCTTAAATCTACTGATCCATGATATTGACAAGTGACATGAGACAAACACTTCCGTAGAACACATTGTCTTTTATGACAGTATAATATTATTATGGTACCAGATTAAGTAAAGGTTTAAAGGCTACGTGTGGTACTTTGTATATCATAAATCATAATCTGAAAAAGTTTAGGGTGAATATATTTTGACAATGTTTATTAACAAGTGAGTTTTATGGATAATGATGACGTTATCGGAAGTTATATATGAACAATAATTATCCGCCTGGACTTTGATGTCTGACTTTGGACGTAGATTTGTGATCAATGGAAAAGAAAACTAAATATGGCGCTTCAATATGAATAAAAACTGTAGATTTGTGATCAATAGTAGAAAAAAACCTAAATATGGCGCTTCAATATGAACGAAAACTGTAGATTTGTGTTCAATGGAAAAGGAAAATGAAGATGGTACCTCTACATGAACAAAACCTGTAGATTTGTGTTCAATGGAGAAGGGATATTGTTATTTTGAATTTATCCTTCACATTAAACTTTGTTATTTGTAATATTTTAGATTCTGATCTGATATTGTAATTACTGAAATAAATGATAATAATTTGAAGACTTGTATATGATTAAATCACTTTGTATTCAACAGACTAGATTTTGTAAACTGAATTGTGTTATGAGGTAAACGTGCAAGGGAAGGATCATTCATTGATACTCTCAAGACCCAAAGTAATCCCTGAAAGAGCCGAGTGTTAGGCCTACTCATTTAATATGCTATTTAATCATATGTTCTGGGTTACCTCCCTTGTCGTTATTGACTCAGGCCAACATGAACAAGTTTAAGTGGACATCTGATTTTGTCAATTAGTTTTTGTGGCTTGGAGAGTGAATAACTGCAAGCAATCGTGTTTTCACCCCATGAGGGTGTGGGACTAGTGTCAAACTAACCAAAAAATGAGATGTACAATATGAATACCATTTTATAAAAAAGTGTTATGTTTTCATGTCATTATGATATATGTAGTTAAGGTGCTGCCTTAGGTGCAAATAGACGAGGTACGGTATCCGGTGCGGTGTTCGGTACGGTGTTCGGTACGGTGTCCGGTGCGGTAGAAATTGATACAGTAGACAATAGTAGAAACGAATCATGTCGTACATCGTGTGTTCATTTTTTCTATTTTCGTTTGTGTCGATTATTCCGTACCGTACACCACACCGGACACCGTACCTTGTCTATTGGAGGCTTTATGAGGCCAGGTAAAGCTATTTATGTAGATCACCGGACAACATTCAAAACATACTTACGAACAGTCCACGTTATTTTAGGTAGCTTAGATAGTACATACATACAAAAGAAGTCTGACTTAAACAGTTCTATTGCTATTTATTATACCCCAACATAAAATAGACTGTTCGTGCTTCTGCTGTATCTATTGAGCCAGACAAACATATTTCCTCTCATCCTTGACCCCACGTAGAAACGCTATACGATGTTTATCAAATCTGTAGAAGCGATGGACATAATTTCTTGAGGATTGATATCTTGGTGTGCATAAATATATTTGTTCCTATGTCATATAAAATTATTCTGACCCAATTAAAAACGATCTTCACGATGTAATACTATTACAAACTTATACCTTGACTGCAATAATTAATCTTTCTTCTATCTCAGAAGATTTTATTGAATCGTATGTCAACTAATACAGAGGTCTTTGATGGGCTGTATCCGCTGTTGTATAATCCAATCAAATCACTGCATTAACACTCTTTGGATATACATGAAAAGTAGCTAGTGCAGTTAAGGCACAGGACGAAGTGCGTAATAGCTTGACATTGTGTATATAGACCGAAACATGTGCCTCTATTCCAGCCTCTGACAGATATTTTGAAAGATGACTACAGTCGATAACTGTAAATATATCTATCAGAGGCTGGAATAGAGGCAGATGTTACGGACTAGACATTGTGAAGATGGCTCAATAATAATACATGTATATATATTCTACATCACTGAAATAATAGAGGTAAATACCGAGAACATACAAACGTCTTCTTCTTATTTTCAACTTTAGATAATTTCACTGGATGCATAAAATGCAAGCCAGGTTTATATCTAGAAAAGTTCGACCTACTTTGATGCCATAAGTTCAAACCCCTCAATCGATAGAAGTTTTTGAAATTGTCCAAACCACCTAAAATTGTTGGTAAAGCCAGCTCGACCATGACTTGATGCCTCGCAAAGATCTCTGTAAGAGTAATGGCGGGACGTTTTAGCCGTCTGGGTATATAAACCACGTCCGCCACGGCACGAAAAAGATCTGCTTTCCCGTGTCCATTTTTCTGTAACATACGTCGAAAGTTTTTAAATACTTCACGTTCCCATGGATTGCCTGTAAGCAGAAGTTTGGTCATATCTTCCCACATTCCGTGATATGCTCTTTTTCCCATGGGCCTGTTCCACCAAGACCATTTGTCTTGAATAGGAGATCCGTTATAATAAAAATACATGGGAGGTATTTGGAACCAGATTTTATCGGTCGGTGCGTTCACAAATTCCCACGAATTGAGCAGTACGTCATCACCGGTTAAAAGATATCCGTCTACGTCAAAACTCAGCAACATAGCTCTATTGAGACACAAGTAATGAAGAGCACCGTAGTCACCGATGTACGTCCTCAAGTATGTGACCCTAGCATAAAAGTTCTCAGTATCTTTTTCAAATTTGATGGAATTGTTCGAGCAATAGACAATATGTTTAAAATACAGTGAATGAATAGGGTGGATTTTCTTAATGACTTTTGTAAACGGCGTATTGAAGGCAACCACGAGCATAATGTTTTTAATCCGAGGTTGTGCGACCTTATTTTTCTCCAGTTTGGTCAATATTTCAGTTTGATTCGGACACATTGTTCTGAGAGATTCAACTTGAGTGGATAAATGAGACAGTTTAGTTTCTTGTGGAGCGTAGTAAAGCAACGCTGGTTGATTGAATATAGCTGGTGATTTTGATATATCACTGAATCTGCGACTGGGTGATCTGTAACGATTCAGACGTCTTTGTGGCTCTGTATATCCCAAGGTTTTTAAATCCTCAACCCACGCTCGAACAATATCATAATTATCAAAATGCCAGAGCTCATATTTCTGTAGAGAGAAACTGAGAAATTCAACACAAGTGAAAAAAGAGTATGATTCGGGACAGACCCAACCCCTTAAAAAATTCACCAATTTAACAGTGAAATCTTGAGAAGATGATTTGATATTCATGCCTTTATTTTTGCGATGATAATGGAGACTAGTGGCATGGAATCCTATATATCCATCGATTTCCCATAAGAGTCTCTGAGCAATAAAAGAACGAATTACTTCGGCGTCTGCGATTGAATCTGTCTTTGGAAGAAGTAATGCCCAAAAGGCCCGATAGATAAAGATGGTGTTATCGGAATTAAATTGTGAATACACATTAAGAGGTATTAACACTGGCGGACTTCGAGAGTTGAATATCACAGTTGTTTCCGCTGATTGGAGTTGCGTCCCTTGCGTCATTCTGACATTTTGAACTCCACTCACCATACCGTGCTGGATAGCCGGAATTCTCCAAACACTTGCTAAATACTTGTTATATTCTTCCTCTTGGTTTAAATTGGGTAAACCACTCGGCAGGAATTCTGATTGTCCAAAATGAGCATATGGATTAAAGTAGTCCGTATTTCCGGCGAAGAGCACCGCGTGCATCGTCTTCCACTTAATTGAGTGCCAGTGTTGAGGTGCAGTGGCACGAACACTATCTGTTGCATCGTATATAACATTAGCACCTCTTGCGATCGCCACGAGATACCCGATATTTTTTCTCATATAGTCTTTGTTATTAGAATAATGTGCACTTTTAAAAAAATGATAATAGTCTTTTGGGTTCACTACGATTGTGTTCCTGAACCTAAAAACATACAGATTAAAAAGAATAAACGATACAAAGCATCTTTAATACGCCCGAAACTATTTTTCAGTTGTACAAGCAATTCAGTTTAGTAGATGGACCCAGTTGCGTTTTTACGTTGGGGGTGGGGGGGGGGGGACCAAAGAGGATCCTCTACCCCAGTGCTATGGCCCCTTGAGAAATCTGTGGCCCCATCTCTGACCACATAGAAATCGTATATGGACTTATGAAATAAATATTCATCAATACAAACTTCAAATATGTTATTGAACAGAGCATTTGATTGGTTGAATAATCTATTGACCTAGATCTTAGGGTGCATCAGAATGTCGTCAGATCATGTATGACCAGTATTAAAAATTTCTCACCTGACGTTTTGTTCTGTCACCAGAAGTAGTTTCCATTGTGGATTATATACGATCAAACTCTTAATATTATCAGATTGTATATCATTCGAGGCTATCACCATCCATCTCGAACTCACAGTGGAATTCCTGCAATTTTAATTCAAAAATTTAGTTATATAGTGCAATAGGGATTCAGAAAATGTCCCCGAATCTTTGTATGTATCTCTACATTACATCCCTACAGGCTAATTCCCATATCGACCCTTACTATTTTATCCCTTTTTCGATTCGCCCCTTTTTCGTTTTGTCCAATTCCCATATCGTCCCCAATGAGCCTCTGTCATCCAGCCCCTCTTTGTCTATGACAGCTTTGACGAAAGATGGCCTGGACTGGTTGCTTAAAATCTTTGTAAATGACCGAGTCTACAGTGGCTATTGAATCTGATTGATTGTAAAGCAACATCCGTTTTGGTGATGGGAAACATTAATCAAAATAATTCAGTTACTATGACAATATCTTCGAATTTTAATCCTCTGCTCGAAAAACCGATAAATATACGATCCACGGACAAAAATATCAAATATAAACTGACAAAACTTGTGGGGGTCGAGATTTGAAGGTCGAAGGTAGTTCACTTGAAATCGTCGTAACAGAAAATTCAATGAAAACTCTGTTGACACCATAATATTATAGTTACAGGGAAATTCAGCTTTTTGTAAAAAGTTTTCATTATCAAAAACGTCGTAAATTATGCCTGCAAATATTTCTAAAGTATGCTATTTATATCTATGTATCTACTTGATCAAACTGAATTTCTTTAAAAGGGTTAATTAAAAAGGGAGAGTACTGATTGTTAATTAATCAGTTTGACATAGTTTTGGTGTTTGGCTTAATAATGGCTCGATATTGTTAATTGAAATCTTTAGTATACGTCGGAGACATATTTCTCTACAATTGGGCGTTTATTTTCCTCAAATCCGTACAGAAGTTTTCTAATAGTTTCAAACACGCATAAAGAACTTGAAAACCTCACGTAATGTTTTTAGATATTTTTGGTGTTTAAAAATTAACGGCTGAATTCTTTTAGTTAAAACTTCCAGATTTCCGACCTACAAACAAAGCGGAATGTCCCTTTAAAATTACGCCATTTAAATTTCACATCCGAGTAATTTTTTAAAAATGTTATCATCGTTAAACGTCAAAGGTTTTACTAACTGTCTATGGTTCAGTGACTGAATGTAGTTTAATAAAAAAAAAAATAATGAAAAATCAGTTTAGGATTTCTAAGTCTTCATTGAAGAAGAAAAAAAGAAAATCTTTATTTAATATCTAATACGGGGTTTCGGTTGAAAAGGTGCCACGAGTTTCTTTCCGTAATAAATAGGTACAAAATGAACCGAGCCATATTTCAGCTGGAAATGAAATGAAGTTTTACGTCCTACTTTTCTGCACCTTGTGGGCTCAATATTTCAGCTGGAGAGCGTGACTTTAAAATATTCCGAGTAAATACGGCGCATATTCCGATTTTGATCAAATTAGTTTTGATGTTTATGTTTTTACAATAGGAGATGGGATCACAATTTGTTTTTAAGTTACTTACCGAAGTATATTTTGTATAGGGACGAAATGAACGGAGCCATATTTCAGCGGAGTAATATAATACACAACCATCAACACTATCATTAATACGCAACCACTTATTAAAACCTTCCGCCATTTTCTAACAGGGATCATGACTGCAAGAAAAAATAGTTACAATTAAAAATAGTCATAATGTTATTCTTAGCCTTTCAATATCTTAATCCTGGTTGAAATTAACTTTAAAACAATAGGGGACATCTAGTTCATCAACTAGTATTCGCACACTTGTGTTTAAAGGGACAGATCCACCATCCATAGCTAAGTCAATCAGTAATAGTGTTCACAGCTCACCGACGACATTTGAGCTTTTAAATCCATGTGTCCAGAATTATTAGCGTTTGAAAGTTAAAATGACGACTCGTCTTTTCTCGATACTCTGCCATATATAGAAAAGAAATATAATAGAAATAGAAAGTGAAATTGCTAGTTTGAACTACATTTGAATGGAATATGAGATTTATTTTGCAGTTGTTCTAGTGCTTCTGAAGACTATTTACATAAATTCAACACCCAAATCAAGCCGAAAAAATGGGGAATCATGGCTTTTAAGGATCTGCCAAAATAAAAGAAAGTCAACCAACGTCCTCAATTGGTTAAAAATGGTTTAAACGTCAACTCAAAGAGATATGGGCGTTTTAATATTTGCCATACCAGCAGATAGAACTCGATTTAATATATCCATATCACTCTAGAATCATATACGTAAGGTTCGCCTACAATAGAATCATATACATAAGGTTGGCCTACAAAAGAATCATATACGCAAGGTTCGCCTACAATAGAATCATAAACGTTAGGTTGGCCATCAATAGAATCATATACGTAAGTTTCGCCTAAAATAGAATCATATACGTAAGGTTCGCCTTTAAAAAATAATATAGGCTACGCAAGGTTCGCCTACAATAACTAAGAAATGTACAAGACAAGGTTTAAGTATAATCCTTCTTTCCAAATTATCTTCTTACCTGATAGAGTTTAACTCCGAGCTATCCGTATCGTATTTTAGAATGTAATTCCGACGCTTGGTTCATATTCAATTAAATAGAACACGTAACGAGTAAAGTAGTGACAGTCCGCTGTTAACCTTTTCTCTCCACTGGCCATCACGATTGTTTTTGAATAGTATTGGGCGAGGTCAACTTGGTTTCTCAGTTCACTGGCCATGTAAATTGTAGCTTATAAAATCTTTCTTCCTGAATAAAAAAGGACAACCCTCTTTTTTGTAGGTCAAATTTGTTTTGCTTTAATTTGTGAAAACTATAGACCCAAATTCGAATTCAGCAGATCAATAAGATACGTAGATATGAAAAGCATATTTTAGAAATATTTTCAGATATAATTCACGACGTTTTTTATTACGAAAACTTTTGACAAAAATTAGACTACTCCTTTAAAGGGACAGATTCGCCATTCTCGGAGTTGATTTGGGTTTTGAATATAATTATGTAAATTTTCTTCGGAAGTACTAGAAATGTGCAAAAATCGCATAATTCTTTCAAACTAGGAATTTCACTTTAAATTTTTATATAATTATGTCTTGTCTGTATATGACAGAGTCTCAAGAAAAGACGAATCGTCATATTAACTTTCAAACGCGGATATTTCTTGACAAACTCAAATTTCGACGGTGAGCTGTGGACAGTATTACTGATTAACGTATCATAAAATTCTTTGACGTATGATTGGTCATACAGATGAAAAACCTGTTCCTTTAATGTCCCTGTTGACCCCGTAGTGACCTAATTGGTTAATTAAACAACACTTCCAACCCAAACATGAACACCGTTGTAAAAAAACAACCTAGGGGGCAATGGCGACCTAGTGTGTTAGACGTGTGTTCTCGCCCCAGAGTCCAAGATTTGATCTCGGCACAGGTTGAGATTATCATAATTTCGGATTTATTTTTGAACACAGTTTCCTACCTCGAGAATCTTACATTGCTAATAAGTTTTGGATTCGATTATTAACCAATCCACCCCTTTGGAGGTGTCGTTGAAAGATCACTAAACAACAACAAATAAAAAATAATAAAAATAAAGCTAGTGCCGCTAATTAAAATAAAATTTCGCTCATAGCACACTGACTCGTCATTTTAAGATACTCTGTGATCTATAGAAAAGACATATACATGTATAGAAATAGTAAGTAAAATTCCTAGTTAGAGTTATTTTTATAAGGAATTGTGTGATTTTCGTACATTCCTAGTATTTTTGAAGATTATTTATATATATTCAAGACCCAAATCAATCTCATAAAATCGCAAATGGTGAATCTGCTCCTTTAATCAGATTGGATAAGGATGACCGAGGAATGCATTCGTGTGAACCGTTTGTTTTGTTTTGTTTTTTTGTATTTAGGAGAAGATTTCTAGTGAGAAAACCTTGACCTATTTTCCAGTTTTCTTTTCAATATGATTCATATTTACACATTCTCTGGTAGCCATCTTAAAGGCCGAGGCGTACGGGCCGTTTGAGAGGTAGACTGGTTTGCCCAAAATTTCCCCTGAATATTCGGAATGTTGTCCGATAATTTTCCGCGAATTCTCTTTCAGAAGATAATCATCTTTAGAGCATAACCCGAGAACACTACTTGTCCAGATGTACATGTACAGATCTGTTTCATCTGTAAAGATTGACTCAAATTTAACTCCCTTTTTTGACTGCTATTCAGGTGTACGACAAGGATGTATAATGAGTCCTATACTCTTTTGTTTATATATTAAACAATAAATAGACTGTATGCGCAGTAGCACAGATATAAGAGGTATATTTACAAACGCAGAAGTTGAGGATATTCTCATTCTTCTGTACGCTGACGATCTAAGCATTGTGTCAGATACTGTACCGGATCTTCAACGCAAGATTAATCTTTTACATAAATTTTGTCTGCAATTCGATCTAAAAATCAACATTTCTAAGACGAAGGTTGTTGTATTTAGAAATGGTGGGCCTCTTCGTTCATACGAAATTTGCTAACCTATGTTCAATAACTGATGAAACACAATTGAGATCTATTTCATTGTCATATTGACCATACCATTTATTATATATTTATTATTGTATATATGAATATGTATATTATGTATATTATGTATATTATGTATATTATGTATATTATGAATATCTATGGGCCTGTTGGCCTCTTTACTGAATACACTATTATTATTATTAATATAAGTGACTATATTTAAAATAAAAGCTAATAAAAAACGGAACGAAAGTTTGGTCTAATTTTAATTAGACTGCGACTCATACTGCCAACAAATGTTTCGAAAATAAAACCCTCGCCAGGACAGCCGGTTTATGAAACGGATGCCAACTTTCCTGAACAATCAGAAGGAAAAGGTTGTCTGAAAATTCGCGAATACGATTTGAGTATGTTCTCCCAACTAAATGTTTTCAGAGTTAAAATTTTATATTGCCTTCAAAATAGTGTTAATGAATGTCAAAAATATGTTATTTTATAGGGTTGGAATTTAAA